CTCCGTTGATTTGACCCAAATCTTCTTTCTTTATTTGTTTGATTTGACCTTACTTCTGTTTGTATGCTTATTTTTCTAACTTAAAACCCTTGTGTAATTTTGTATATTATTTTGTTTCCATGTACACCCTTTGAGTACACCTCATTCATCAAACTATTCATGCCATTGCGGAACTCTTATTTAACAATCATTTTTGACAACTCATCACTTTTGTTGCCATCCTCTTACCAACATCCAATTTATTTGAACTTACTAACCGTATTTTCGTTTGACAAATTTAATGTATACACACACACACAAAATAACCATAGATATTTGCGATTGTACAGCTTTGAAAATGAATTCGCCGAAAAGAGACTCTTTGCTGAACTACTTGTCTTTTGTCTACTAATGTCCGAATGGGAATTATTCATGAATTATGACATTTGTAGAAATTTGGATTAGGTGTCAGTTACAATGGTCGGATTTCGTCACGAACTATCATCTGTTAAAGAGATTATGTCAATTGGAAGTGAATGGTTATCGAAGCCACTGATTGAAGACGCAATTATACTACAAATCCATAGAAGTTAGAATTCACAGGTCATTGAATTCCTGCCAAACGGGTTGATGGTCAACGTGCTGGGTTTCGTAACCCGAATTCCCTGGGTTCGATCCCTATTCAGGCAGTGGGTGACACTTGATGAAGAGTCCCAAAACAGGACGAAACAGCGGTCCAGTGAACATTGGTTTTCAATAATCTGTGCAACGGATGCTGATTTCTGACAAGTATAACCGAGACGTATTACTTGGTTTGTGATGGCTAGTCATTGAATGTACCCGCTCCGCAATTATTGTTAGTATTCCCACTAATATTTTCAGACCTAATAGTCACTGCTTAGGCCACTTGCTTGTGAGAGTCATCTATTGTGCAACGAATATCCAAACAACTTGAACTATTAAAGTCAGCTAATCTAACCAAGTATAACATATTCCAATAATTTGTTCCGTGCGATATATACGAATTAGGGTCACACTTATAAGTGCATCCAGAAAACACGTCAACTTCAGATGCTCATTTAAACGAACATCAAAATGTAATGTTTGATGACTTTTAGTAGGAACATCCTCTCATCTTTATTTCATTATTTACAAACTGATCGATCGACTCAGGCTTCGTGAATTTCGCAAAAAAGAAAAAAGGAAAATGTGGATGCTGATAATGCTGTCAAGGGAATTTATACTTACCAAAACCAACTCCCAAAAGATAGTCACATAGGAAAGACGCCATAAAACAAAAATACAAATATTAATTAGTCATTTGAATACATCTACAAGGTTATGAGCAATAAACTGTGCTCAAAAAAGTGTTCAGTTAATAATAACAATAATAATCCATTTCCAAGATAGTCAGCCTAATGTGGGAACATATGCTACCACAATGATTGAGTTGTATACTTAATTTATACACCAAGACAATTTTAACATAAACACAAGAATTTCAGTATACTAAGTGAAAAAAATGTTCAAGTATTGGTTTGTAGGGATTTGGTGGATTGGTTACAGGATTTCATCATGAGCTGACATTGGTTAGAGAACCATTGGAAAACCTGGGAGTACTGGACAGCTGTTTCGTCCTAGTTTGGGAGTCTTCATCAGTACGCACCCACCGGGGTTTGAACCCAGGATCTTCTGGTTACAAGGCGAGCTCGTATACCATTAAGCCACTGGGACCCGATGCAACGGCCCATGAATTCTAACTTCTGCCAATTCACGATATAGCGCAACCGCTAGCCAATGTCTTCGGCTAGCATTTGTCCTCACACCCGACCTGCTGCACCCTCCTGGTCACGACAGTAAAAAATGTCATAGCAAACAAAAGTCTTAGTAATTTAATGTGTGAAAATATACTTCGACAGTTTAAACGATCAATTGTCAACTGCAAGGTTCAAAACCTACTCCACCTTCGGTTTACATTAGGAACTAGTCATGAAATGTTACACGTTAACTAGTACATAATCTTCCGTTGAGTCAGTGAGTTCCAGTGTTATTATTTCAACCCCCCTCCCCCTCCAAAAAATATTAGATAAACACATTGCAATCGTTTATTTACCCATAATATTCTCAATTTCAACAACACTGACATAACTGTAGCAACCTGTTTATCTGAAAAACACATTGAAAGTATTACGATAAAAAAAACTCACCTTTTACTAATTGATTGATTGTTTAATCAGTTATTGTCAACTCAAGATGGATCAGTGAATATATATGTGGTGCAATCATCACTAAACGAATATCAACATAAAATTCGCACTATTTTATATTGTGTATACCAACAGTTCAGTCGTACAACAATCAAGTCTACTTGGAATCAGCTGACATAAAACAGGTTTTTTTTCTAAAGACATCCTATGCTTTCCTGTATTGGCTAATTACTCTTTTAGAAGTGGTTGACAGTAAAGTTTAGGATGCTCATTTCGTCCCGTTTGGGACTCATCAGCCAGATATACTTTCTCCCCACTAAGTGCAGGTGTTCCTACTATCACCATTACTAACTAGGATGAAACGCGTATCGTGTATTCAACTGATAGCCACTAACAAACAAGTACCTTTAAGTTCGTAATCTTGATAATATGGAGGCATCCGTCCAGAGTCCGTGTAGTGAATAAGGCTGATCAACGCACTTAGGTATGTGAACAAGAAATCACAAAGTTGTATAAATAACTTCATAGTGGATAAGTTTATTTGATGTTACACTAGGTAATACAATAGTTGTATCTTTATTATCTAGTTTATAATACAATATTAGATGGTTGGAGGCAATTGGCCAGAGGAGGCCTTGGACCTAGGTTTCGTACTGATTGGCACTCGTCAGCAAGGCGTATCTGCAACCTTGAAGGAACCCGCATCACCCAGTACTACAGTCAGAGACGTTACCGCTGAGCTATTCGGGTTCGCGATTGACCTCCAGTATGACTGTAGTGGATACTTTAATTGCACACCAGTAACTAGTGTCCAATCAAAGTAGCGTATCAGTGTCATGCAAAGCCTAACTGCATGCTCAACATTAGACTTTTCTTAGTAGTGCAGTAGTTCAAGTTGCCATACTTGACAGAAGTGCACATAAATGTTTTAAAAGATTTCAAAAAGAATACGACGAAACTATAACAAAAAAAGAAATTTCTTCGAGAGAAAATAATCAGTATTTAATGTTTCTTGGAGATAACAAAAAGTGAATGCATCTGTGCCATTTGACCTCATTAGCATCTCGGAGTCTCTAGCCAAAAAGTCTACAAACCCGTATGTGGCTGACAGCTGCAGTTATAATTTGATTTGACTAAGCTTAACCCTTTCCTAAATGAATCGTAAATCATAGAAAATCAACTTATCTAGTATGAAACTGTACTCTGCCATAGTACCCGAAACCAACTTAAGAATAAATTTATATTATCTAATGGGTGATGAATATTTGAAGACATGTTACCTGATGATCAGTCTATTTATTTAATTGAGAAACGATATGTTGATCTATTTTGACAACTGATTGTATTTACACTACAATTAACTAACGGATTCCTATCCAACTATTTATCATTCATTACCTCTCTTTAGTAAAACAAACCACTTTACGAGTCAAGCATTTCATCATTAAACAGAAACGTATTTTAAAGCAATAGAATTAGTATTATTATTAATAATAATACACAGTGAGTGCTTCCCAACTACTCCGGGTGGTCGGAGTTCGATCCCGGGACAACGCATTCCAATACCTCCCTTCAGCCGATAGTAATCCCAGAAAGGAGGACATAAATTTGGCATAAGATGAGCAATCCCACTCTTTCAAAAAGAAAACACAATACCACCTGCACTACTGACTGAAACCTTAAAGCCAGTATTATTCCAACAGAAATGTCAAGAAGGGAAAAACACCAAATATAATTACTATTATTATTGTATAACCAACAAAAGTATCCCTTATATTTATTTACTTTGGTAACAAACATCTCAGTGAGAGAATCACAGAAAGTTGATAATAATAAGAAGGAGAAGAAGAAGAATGATAACCATATCAGAACAGTATGAACAAGAAAACACCGCCCCCCCCCCCGCGCGCTTTGAAAAATGAACAAAACTTGTGTAAATGAGGGAACAAAAACTGAGTTAAAAGAGGAAGGAAAAACACACTGGTATTAATCAAGTAATCATTTAAAAAAACCAAAAGCAAAAACAAAAAAGTTTAGGGATGATTTAATCAACAAATTGGTGCTTTTTTTAACTGTCCACTAAGTTTTACTTCTTACTGTAAACAAGAGACGAGTCTGTTTTCAAAAGTTTTTAGAATAGAAAGAATTTTTATTGACATGAGACCCGTAGGAAGAGACAGAAAGAGACAGAGAGAGAGTGCCGGAGAAACAGAGACATAGAATAAGAAGAGGATAACCTTAGGTTACTTCGTTGAGTAGTTAAGTGTTTGTGCGCGTGTTTTTATCTCCCTGAAGGTTGGTCAGAATGATGAAAGACGAAAAACAAAAATAAGAAAAAGAAAGATTTCTGTGTACAGACAGTCTCTCTGTTTTGCTTATTTATATTTTTTTCTGATGGTAGGTGAAATCTGGGCTTAACATTAAAAAAATAATCATAAATAATCACAGCATAATAATAAAACACAGAACGCATGCAAATAACAACAATGGAAGGAAGGTACAATGAGCATACAATTCTAATCACAAATAGCAGCAATAACGCCGAGAAAAAAAGAGGAGTAAAGATTCATTCCCTGTAACACCACTAAATTCTACACACATACATACATGCAAACATATGTTAGATATATATACGTGTATATACGTTAATCAACTGAGAAACATGCATTAAAACCACCCTTGTATCTATGTACCACTCTGCACTGAGAAGAAGTAAAATTCATCTCTAATTGCTTTTGCGTTTTCTATTCGCCAGATAGGCATTAACACCAAATATTGAAACAATCAATATAACCATGACAAGTAATGATACACCTGTCAACGCTGTAATCGGTATATTACTCTTGAAGTCACGTGGACAGACTTCTCGTAGACCTAGAGAAATAATTGCGAAAATTAAAAGTATTAATAATTTCTTTTTTGCTTAAATGTGAAATCTTACGATTAGGACTGATATCTTTTTCAGCATTAAATGCTTGAAATGTCATTCCAGTGAAGACGATTGCAGCACTCTGGTTGAAGTAAATCGGTATCTCCGTTTGACATTCGTACACTTCATCAGTACGTGTTAGAAATTTTTGATCAGGTAAACTATCAATTTTTTCTTGAGCTAAATAGAAAATAAGTACACCGGTTAGATCGATAGATTAGTTAGTGAACAGCCTACATACACCATTTCTGTTGTTTAACATCAATGGTGTATGTTGTATGGATTATTATTATTATTATTATTCAACACGTACATGTAACTTCAGATGATTTCGTCTTTGACAATGCTTCTTTCAGTTTATAAGACAATGTCATATTTGTCCAAGCAAAATATTCTTCATCCAATTCTACTATTAAAGATAATTCACAATTTTCCAGTTTTGAATCAGCTGGAGGAGTCATTGTAAAAGTGATGTAGATTGTTCGATTGCCTGACTCTTCATATTTCTTTTTATCAACACTAACAGCAGTTGATGCAGGATCAAATGTGTAATTCTTTTGTTCATCAGGAGTTCCATTGGCCTATATGTATATATTTATAGATAGATAGATGGAATGAACTCAAAACAAAAGAGAGAGAAAAAACAAAAGAAGGGATGCTCACGCTATCAGCAGTAGTCTCTGTATAAAAGAAATACAGTTTCCAATCCCATTCTCCTGATGCATATGGTACATCAACGAAGGACACCTTTCCACCTGATGTAAGTGTTAAATACACCCAACCTGTGAGAGACAACAATAACAGACAGACAATGATAATAATAATAACAACAACAAGGATGTCGGTAATAGACAAAATGGTAATCACATGCAGCATAGGAACTAGTCACTTGTTAAAGGACACAATACAACACTTGGCAAGGAATAATAATAGTGATAATAAAATATACAGAGGGAAATAAGAATAGAACAGAAGGTGGAATTCATGAGAGATTGGATCTGATCCCAATGGATGAATAGTCTACGAGCTCATCTTGTAACCGAAAGGCCCTGAGTCCGAATCCCGGTGGATGTGTACTGCATAAGAGTGGAAAACCAGAAGGAAACAGCTATCCAGTACTCGCTGCTCGTTTTCCAATATTTCTCTAACTAATGTCAGCCTGTGACGATCAAACCTATAGCCAGTCAAATCCTTACAAACCAACACTTGGATTAATATAGTTCGTGGAATGCAATTTATAATTTTTATTCGTTAGAAATTCCAAACAGAAAACCACAATTCGGCAATTTCTCCATAAAGTATATTCAAATTTATTTTAGTAACTATAACTCTATCTATACAAAAGTCAAACATCTGAAATCTAAAATCAGATGTAGGTTTTAATCCGTGTTCAGGGAGTTTTTTTTAATTTAACTCGATATTCTGTCATTAGGTACGTATAGGGTTCCTCACAGTAATCCACGAAGGATAGATCACCGAAGAGCAAAGACACGAGTGATCTCCCATTTCTTTTCAATTCGAGTTTTCTGCCCCCTAGAACTCTCTACCGGAAGATGCAGCTACTGGACCGTCCGTAGGAAGCTTTAAGTGGAGAGTGGACAATCATACAGCAATACAGGGACTGAATTTTAATAAGGAAACACCTAAGCTCATCTTTTTACTTCACATCTTCCCTCGTCTTACTCTTTTGACTACTCCAACTATTCATTTCCTCATTATTATTAGTAATACATAAATAAGCAAATTTCATTAGCCATCAGCTTTTATGTTTTCTCTTATTTATTTTTAAGTCTACATGATTTACACTAGTTATATATGTTATTATCATTGTTATTATTATTATTGTTGTCTGTTTTTTCAACCACACCGGACGACTAACGGATGAAAGGATCAACTCCGTTCACAGTAACAACACGGTCTTAACACACCGCATACAACACACCACATATAATCGAACCATTGCCACTCATTTTGGAGTCAATCGGAGCTACGAAAATCGAATGATGGGATAAACAACGTGGAAGAAAACCGAAAACCAAGGACCTTTACCCTACAACCAAGAAACGAGCACAAAGGAATCAAATTGGTTTATACTTGCTTGTAAAAACGATACTGGATGCTTGATAGTATCCATTCCATGAAACCTGGTAAATAAAGTACAGTAGTATGTAATGTGAACCAGTCTATTCTGTACAATGTATTCCTCTTGAATTTTCCATTGTTTCCACTCTTTGTGGTTGAGGGATAGGAGAGGGGCTAAGCAGTATTTATATCAACCTCAGAACAATTTTAAGGTTGAAATATCTACTTCGTTTGGCAGTCTAATCTATGACCAATGGGTTGACACATACTGTGTCATCAATATGATGGAGTATTCTGCAATCTTTGCATATTAACGTCCACAGATTTCTCATGGCAGAAGATTGCAGCCATTGGATCGGGTCCTAGTGACTGATTAATGGTCTACGAGCTCGTCTTGTAACTAAGAGTCCTAGGTTCGAACCCCGATAAGTACGCACTGCTGAAGACTCCCAAACTAGGACGAGACATATGTCCAGTACTCCGAGGTTTTCTAATGGTTCTCTAACTGATATCAGCTCGTGATCAATCCTGTAGTCAATTATGTGAATCAGTGACGTGATAAGCGGTGTAATAAGTGTATTGATCTGAGACTTTTTATCTGGTATTATAATAAATATTAAATTAAGTAACGCCTAACCACAGTATACCGTGAGGCACTGTATTTCTATATAATTTGTAAAAAGAAAGACTTAGTCGTAATGAATTATGAGTGGGAACCAGAGGGCTAGTTTCGCATATGCCAGTTTACGCCGTCTCTGGCGTAGACGTGATATCCGACTATCGACCAAAGGGCGTGTGTACTGCTCAACAGTCCGCTCCGTCCTCCTTTATGGCTGTGAGACTTGGCCATTGAGAGCAGAAGATATGAAAAGATTAGCTGTCTTCGATCATAGGTGTCTGAGTTCTATCTCCCACGTGAAGTGGTATAATAAGGTGAGCAATATTGAGATTAGGCGTCGAGTGCTAGGTAAGGAGGGGAAATCAATCGACGAAACTGTGAAATTACATCGACTGAGATGGTTAGGACATGTGTTACGCACGCATGCCTAGTCATCGCCTTCCTCGACAATGGGCAATGTTAGCTGATATAGGGTCAGGCTGGAAAAGAGCTAGCGGCGGTCAAACGAAAACATGGCACCAGTCAATGAAATCTACAACAGTTAGTCTAAGCCACGCAAGAAGGTGTAGACTTCCTGGTTGGGGTCCTAGGGACGGTAAAAACCAATGGTTGGAAACGATTGGTGACATGGCTCAAAATCGTTCTCAGTGGCGCAAATGCATCCACTCCTTGTGACTTATGATCTCCAATGAAACTATATTGTTCTTCGTTATTACTATTCCTTTGTCTCACACCTCTGTTTACTGTCTCTAATATTCAGTTCTTCTACTTTCTTCTGTTGCTTTGTGTGCTACAAGGAGGGAGTGTGGCGACTTGAACTGTCGCACATATGTGCAAAGTTCTATGTCGAAAACCGACCGACCGGGAACCAGATGACTCATGTTTCCAGACACGTCTTATTGATTAGTCCAGGGGATTTTGTAGAATAATTCCGAACATCTAATTTGATTCCTTTTCTGAATACTCTTCAAAAAGACTATTATACACTAGTGCCAACATAATTTCCACTTTTCTACAACTCAGATTCTTTTCACTAAGAGTTATGGCTACAAAGAATTTTAAAAACAAGTTGCCTTAACCAACAGTTGGTTCATAATTGATTGAGTTTTCAAGATAGAGTTTCATGGTGCCATACTCCACTCAACAAACAAAGACAGAGAAAGAACATTCCAAGGAACTAAAACAAACGGAAATTTACGAGAGAAAGAAGAGGTATACATGTATAAAACTGACAGTTCAGTTGGTCTAAGAGATCATAAACACTGGACGCATGTGAGACACTGAGAACGATTTTGAACCATATTACCCACTGTCTCACTCTATGGATTCTTAGTCTCGATGACTTCAGCTAGGAAGGTAATCTGCACCTCGCAGCATATCTCAAACCAAGATTGTAAGACATCACTGATGAATGCCAGGTTTTGCTAACTCTTTTACGACCAAATCCAATGTCAGTTAACATTACCGGACACACGTGGCACACATCCTAAACATCTCAATAGATGCAGCTTCACAACTTCACCGACTCGTGATAACAATAGAGTACAGTACAGGTCATTCAAAGAAGTGAAACTGATAAATTACATTGCAAATAATTGATTTACAATTAACAGAAAATTGACAATAACAATCAGTAGGATAAACAGATAAAACAAAAGAAGGATATCATACAGTTCTTGCTGTTCAAAAACAGGAGAGTGATAAAAGTGTCCATAAAAGACAATTACTGATGAAGACACAACAGTATGATGGATTTCAGAAGTTATCAAGAATAATTGTAGTTCTTTTTGAATGGTTTTGATAATAGTGAGTACTCTAAGCTGAAAATTTTCTCTTGGATAAAAGTGAATACGTCATGAATGGAGCATCCAAATAAGAGGAAGTAACACTATCAAAATTATTTCCAAATACTAAATCAACAAGTGGGTGGTATTAAAACAGCCGCATTATTATTGTCGGGGGGTGAGGGTGGGATTGAATTTCTAATCAAGTAACACACGTTTAGATACCATGAATCAACTGAAAGAAAGGTGGAAATGAACAATCGAGGAAAACTATGATAAAATAATTTGTAAATACAATGAATATCTATATAAGTGTTCTTGAATAGTGAACAAAGAAATATTCACCTTTCAATCAGATCCCCGGTCAATGGCAATTTTAATACAAGAGAGAATTTGTCAGTCTTGTGCTGATACGTTTGTTAATAATAACTAGTCAGTATCAACGTGTCAAAGGGGGGTGATGACTAAACAGGAAAATTGGTGAAACAATTAAACAGATGGAAGAAATATTTGGAAATAAATGAAACAACAAGTGGTTACATAACGCACAGCTTATATATGTTGAAAAATAAAAAGTACAAGTGAGTGATTACGTAAGGACGGTTCAATGTGAAGCAGGCAAAATGTTAGGATAGTTGTAAAAAGCACTGGTCAGCTTCACATTCATTCGAACATAAACAAACAGGTTCAGCTTTTTCAGGTGGAATTCCAAAGGCTTCTGCTTTATGGAGAAAAATAACTCTTAAAGTGAAATTTACATGATTTGTTATCATCACCTCTAAGCTAAAAATACATCTACGAGTGAACTTTTTTTGTCCTTTCCTTAACCACGTAGGATAACATTCGAAAAACTCATCCAGACAGGGAAATAGGAACAAACAGTTCAGCGAAGAGTCTCTTTTCGGCGTACTCACTCACTTAACCGCACAATCAACAGAAAGAAGGGCATATCTACGATTTTCTCAGCATGTAACTAAAAGCTTATGTCTAAAGGGAACAAATGCTTTAAACAGTGCCATCGCCAGGCATCTCCTTGACACGGGTCGGTCATGAGGTGGACGTCGAAAAGTCGTTCAAAATTATCAATAAGCAAAAGAGCTCAATTCTCCTTAAGTTAGCTGAAGCCATTTCCATCAAGCGCTTGAAACCTGATTTATACATCCAGAAAGAAGCGGTTATCAGTCTTTCTTTACCCTGGTAACTGGATATTTTCATCTCTCTTTCATCTGAATGCGTAATGCTGAAAAGTTTCCATTGTTTATGATTATTATTGTTCGGAATAGTGTTTAATATTATA